CCCTGGGTCCTCAGAGCGTGGAAGGTGTGCACTGGGCCAGGGACCCCAGGGCTGGGGCACAGTGGGAGGAAAGCAGGAGAGCCCAAGCCACCGAAGCGGCAGCTTCAGGCCGCTCTAGTTTGGCCCAAGCTCCTGAGTTTCCCTAAGAAGGGAGGCTCTGGCATTATTCTCTAAAATAGTAGAATGTTTTCTCCTTTTAAAATAAAACATCGTGGGAGTACACAAGAGCCACCCTGTGGGGCAAAGCTGTTGACTGGCAGCTTGTCACAGCCCTACCTACCCATTTCACAGGTGGGGAAACTGAGTCACATAGCAACCTGGAGGCAGAGCTGGGACTCAGCTGCCTCTGAACTCTTGCCCAGCCCCTAGGTGCTCATAAGACTGGGGAGAGTAGAGGGACACCGGGGTGGGGAGGAGAAATCTAGACCTCAAAAGCCAAAAGCCCTGCTTGTTCTGTCCATCCGGGAAGCAGTGTGGATAGAAGGGCAGGAAAAGGGATGAACAATTATTAATAACATACTGTAATTTTGTGATAAATTTTATGATAAAATATCTAAGGATAATTCTATAATAATGTAAGAAGAGCAACTGAGATTTTCTATATGCTAGGCATGAAGACAGGGTATTGAGAAGCAGGTAAGATGGTAATTAACAGTGTAGACCCTGGGGGCTTCCCTGGGGGCTCAGTGGTAAAGAATCCTCCTGCCAATGCAGGAGACATGGGTTCGATCCCCATCCAGGAAGATCCCACCTGCCTTGGAGCAATGAAGCCCGTAAGACACAACTACAGAGCCTGAGGCTCTAGAGCCCGAAATCCTGTGCTCCACCACCAAGACAGAGAAGCCGCCACTCTGCAACTAGAGAAAAGCCTGCGTAGCAATCAACACCCAGAGCAAAAATGAACAAATAAAAGTATGGAAAAAAAAAAGTGTGTAGACTCTGGATTCAAACCCTGTCTCTCCCCACTTCCTAGTTGGGTGACCTTGTGCAAGTGACTTTGCCCCTCTGTGCCTCTGCGTGTACACATTGGAGGGTGGGTGGGAGAATTAAGTGAATTCAAGAACAAAGTACCTAGAAGGTTGCCTGGCACTCAGCGAGCCCCGTTGACACTGTATTTAAATCACTGCCTCTGGACAGACGCGGAAGCTGGTCTCACAAAGCAACACGTTCAAGTATCTCTGAAGAGCCTGTCTGAGTCCAGGGGCCTGGCGTTTCCCCTGGTAGCGGGGTGGGCACTTTACCCTCAACTCCTCCCGTCAACACCCGCAGCAAGTAGGTACCAGCTGCGCCTGTATCCTGCAGATGCGAAAACTGAGGCATCGGGAGTCAGCCAGGGAACACCTCGCCCTCGAGTGGAACTGGCCAGATTCTAACACAGGCCCAGGCCCTCAAGGTTTCTATGGCCCAGCCCACTCTCTGGCCTGGGTCAGTTGCCTGGGTCAAAGTCTGGTCAATGCAGGAACTCACTTGGCAGCCCACACATTCTCCTCGGGACTGTGGAAGCCCGGGGTGGAGGAGACCTGAGCAGGGGGCGTGGGAAGGGGCAGGCATCCCAGAACCTACCCTGGAACCAGACAGAGCAGATGTGTCTGCAGAGAGCGAGGAGCTTTCCAGGCAGCTGGGACAGGTGGTGAGTGGGGAGGCCAGGAGCCTGCTACCCAGACAGGTCTCCACTCCGCCACCTGGCAGATCAAAGCCACGCCGGCCACACCCGGGGTTTTGGGCCAATACCAGCCGCTTTTGAGCGGCCAGTCTTGCTACACATTGATCCATGAAGTCATGTCGATAACGCACCTGAGCGCTTTACAGATCCCAAGGTGCTACTGCATTCAGTCCACGCCCATTCCCCAGCGGGATACCCTGATGCCTGGCAAGGGGCAACCCCTTGCCTAGCCACGACAGCCCTGTTTCCATTTCCCCAGGCTGCCTTCTCCATGCACAAAATTCACGATTTTTAAAAGGCCAAGGGAGGGAAAGGATGCACAAGTGAACAAAAGCAGGAGGCACTGGACACGGCCACCAGGAGGCCGGGTCTCCACGGCCCTTCCCAAGAGCAGCTGCCTGGGTGGGACAAGGCTGGTGGCTAGGACCTGGGGATGCACAGCCCAACGCCAGCTGAGGTTCCTGAACCAGCGGATTACAGGCTGAACCTCAGAAAGAACTGGTCACCTTCAAGCCCCCTGTGCTCTCATGACACCAGCACCTTCTGACCTGGGCTCTTCCTGGGCAGCCCTGTCTTATTCAAAGACAAAGCGTGTGAGGGACGCGGTGGGCATCCCAGGTGTGGGGGCGATGACCGAGAGGAGGGACGGGGTGGCCGTCGCTCAGGACTGCTGGCCTCGGGCCCAGGGGGGCGTCTCTGGAAATAAGCAGTGGCCCACTTAGGGTATATCTAACTTCTCCAATGGCTCAAGCAGTCAAGAATCTGCCTGCAGGGCAGGTAACTCCAGATTCGCAAGTTCAATACCTGACTTAGAAGATCCCCTGGAGGAGGAAATGGCAACCTACTCCAGTATTTGCCTGGAAAATCCCATGGACAGAGGAGCCTGGCAGACTACAGTCCATGTGGTTGCAAAGAGTCGGACACGAGTAAGCATGAATGCAAGATAAGGGAACCTCATGGCTTATCTTGCCACGAGGTCTCGGGGGTATGGGGTGGAGCATAGGCATGACCAGACTCCACTTCCGAGCCTCGGGGTCGCAGTCTAGGAGACCCGCCAGGGGTCTCCCTGGCGTCCACATGGAGCCTTAGCTGTCAAGGGACTCCTGCTGGCCTAGGGTGGGAAGGTCTGAGTCATCCCCCTTTCCTTTCACCTCATGCAGAGGTCCCTGACGGCACCACCGAATCATGTGCTGGGTCCTGGGGTGGCCACAGCAAGCCCTGGGATTCCTTTCCTCATGGCCTCCCCTGATCCTGCTCAGGATCTGGCAGGAGGGACCTCAGCAAATAATTTTTCACTGTTACAGGAGGACACAACAGCACATGTACCTCACCTAACTGCCCCAGGCTTGATCTGTTTCCCTTCCTCAGAGCACCCAGGAGTTCCCAGTTACTCTAAGGAAGAGCTTAATTTCCTGCCCTTCAGTTTCACCTGTGTAAATTTCATAAGCGTTAATTTCACATGTGTTCCTTTCTAACTAGCAGGAGTCAAAGCCAGTGATTTCAAAGATTTCAGCTGCTGAAGCCTAAATTTGTTTAAGAGCATTAGAACCCTCATCTGCTGCTGATGGGACTATAAAACAGCGAAGCTGCTTTGGAAAGTGGTTTGGCGGGACCTCAAAAGGTGGAGCGAAGAATTACCATATGACCCCACAATTCCACTCCCAGGGTTGTACCCCCAGAGAACTGAAAACATACACCTACACAAAGACTTGTACGAGAATGTTCACAGCAGCACTATTCATAATAGTCCCAATGTGGCAACAACCCAAGTGTCTATCAGCTGATAAACAGATAAATATGATGTATTCAATGCAATGGAATATTACTCAGCCAAAAAAAAAGTAATGAGCTACTAAAATAGGGACTTTCTTGGTGGTCCAGTGGCTAACACTCCACGCTCCCATTGCAGGGGTCTTGGGTTCAATCCCTGATCAGGGAACTAGATCCCACATGTTGCAACTAAAGATCTTGCTGAAACGAAGACTGAAGATCCCACATGCCGCAACTAAGACCTGGCGCAGCCAAAAAAATATATTTTTTTAATGCTAAAATAAACAAGTAATAAAGTACCACATACTAGCAAGTAGATGAAACCTGTAAACATTCTAAGTGAAAAGCACCAATCACAAAAGGCCATAGTGCATGATTCCCTTTATAGGAAATGTCCCGAATAGGCAAATCCATAGAGAAGAAAAGTAGATTAGTGGTTGCCAGGGGCTGAGGGAAGGAGGGATTGGCAGTGACCACCGATGGGCCCAGGGTTTCTTTACGGCAGTGAAAATGTTCTAGAATTAGACACTGGTGACGGTTGCACAACTCTGTGACTATCTCAAAAACCACTAAATTGAATACTTCAAATGGGTGAATTGTACGGTATGTGAGTTATATCTCAATAAGGCTATGATTAAAAAAATTACATGAGATTTTTAAAAAATAAGGTGATATAAACACATATATTAAATAAATAATAGTACAATTGGGAGTCAATGGGTTAAAATGGTTCACAAGTGACACAAGAAACCCGATTTCACAGTCATGGAAACTGAGGCTGAGTGCAGGGGAATGACTGGCCCAGGCCACATCACTACTAAACCAGAGTGAGTCACACCAAGATTTGTCCAAACCCAGAAGCCTGGACTAACCATCAAGCCACCCAGCTAAATGAAAGCATGTGAGATGGAGTAGAGCGAAAAGTGTTCACAGCCCAGAATGGAGACAGACCTGCAAAAAAAAAAAAGGTTAATAAGCAAGGACCAGTTAACTCTGTGGGATACCAAATAGGAAGGCCCCAGGATGCCTGTGGAGTGCCAGGGAAGGCTTCCAGGAGGAGGCGCTGCTCAAGGAGGCTTCTGAAGGATGAGCAGGAGTCTATCAGCTGCCCCACCCCCACCCCCACATCTCTACAAGATACACAGAGTCAGGGGGCTTGAGGCTGTTTCAGCTCTGAGACATCCTAGCTGTGGCGTCTAGGGCCGAGGGCACAAGACCTCTCTGAGCCTCAGTTTCCCCATCTGTGATCAGCCCTTCTAACTACTGCACTCAATCGGATGGTTCCCACACTTTCTCCCGAGGCGGCGGGCCTCTGAAGTGGGAAAGCTGGACCTCGACCTCTGCCGCACATAATAACAACAGACTCCGCCAGGTCCGGCGTGCACAGCCGTAGTGACCACGACCCCTTTCCCTGGTCGCCACTCCCAGTCCTAGCTTTACGAGGCATCTCCCACCCAGCTCGCTCCTCCGAGAGCCAGAGGTTACGGGGCAGTGGGATCCTCTGGTTAAACTCCACCCCACTCCTAGTGGGTGACCCCCAGGTTCACCAGTACTGACCCCTTATTTCATGCTCTCGGCGCCCCCCCTCCCTGCTCCAGGCAACTATTTCCTTCCCCTAATCCTTCCACTTGAGACACGCCTCGCAAATCCACGGCGGCTGCAAGTTAACTTCCACCCGCCCCCCCCCGCGCGTCTCGGCGCCCGCGTGGGGGTCCCCGCGCGCGCCGGGGAGGGGCCGGTGGCTCCGACAGCGGGGACACGTTGCCTCCCCCCCCCCCACCAACACACACAGACGCTGAGCACCTCCCGGTTCACCGCGGGATCCGGGTCACGGGGAGCGGGTCTCCGCCGCATCCCGCGGAGAGCGCACGGAGCGCACACGGATCCGCCAGCCGCCCGCCAGCGCCGCCTTCCTCACAGCACCCAGCCCCGGAGAGCGGAGCAGCCGGGCCGGGCCAGGGAAGAAGCCGCGAGGGCCGAGGGCTCCCCGGCGCTCGAGGCCGACCCGCAGGCGGCCTCCCGCCGGCGGCTGCAGCCCAGGCCCCCCCACCGCGCGCCGCCCTGGGGCCACCTACCGTGAGAGGAGCGCCGCCGCAGCCCCGCGCGCCCAGCGACTCCCAGCTCGCCCGCCGCCCGGGCCGGGGGAGGCGTGGCCGCGGCGCCGTGACGTCGCGCGGGGGCGTGTCTGGAACGTGGTCCCGCCCCCTTTCAGGCCCGCCCACGGCCGCTCCCCATCACCCCTGTCCCGCCTCCAGACCGCGCGGTGGGGCGGGGCGTCCCGGAGAGACGTCCCGGAGAAACCCTGGTCCGCATGCTGGCTTACCCCCAGGCCCGGGCAGCTCACCACTTTTCCTCCCACCGGCAGCTCTGTTTAAGAGAATTTCCCTCTGTCTGTATGCAGGGGAGTGGAATGATCGCCAGGAAGTGGTGTGAGAGAAGAAAACCAGACCCTGAGCAGAGTGTTTTAAATGCTGTTTGTGTAAAACAGAAGAGACGAGAGGGAAGGGCTGTCCTACAGTTCGCATACATCAATGGTTCTCAAAGACGGTGTGATATCTCTCTCTTGCGGGCCGCCCCGCTCCCAGGAAGACATTTAGAAAAGTCTGAAGACATTTTTGATTGTCACCGCTGGTGGGTGGGGGGGAGCGCTGAGGGTGGGAGTATGTTTCTACTGGAATCTAGTGGGTGGAGGCCTGGGATGCTGCTAAATAGCCTACGATGGAGGGGAGGAGGGCTGACCTCCTTCCCCCCAAACCAAGGCCATCCAGCCTAAAATGTCAGCAGTGCGGGGTGGAGAATCCTTGATAGACAAGACGAAAACTCCAGGTTGGTAGGTCTCATCTCAGTCTAACTTCTCTGTGCCTCTGTTTCTCCATCTGTAAAACAGAAGATAATAGGCCAATCTGTGCGTTACATGCATATGCGTTGAATACCTGAAGGAAGGGGAGGAAGGGGTACAGGCTCACTTTTCACTGTGAGCCTTTGATCTTTTTCCGTTTGAATTGGAAGTCTGGTAGGCTACAATCCAAGGGGTCACAAAGACTGAGCGACTTCACTTTCACTTTCTTTTATATATTACTTATTTAAAATAATTTCTATAATAGTTATCGCCACAACTACACACACACACACACACACACATACTGTTGTTTATGCATGTGCTCAGTTGTATCCCACTCTTTGCAACCCCATGGACTGTAGCCTGTCAGGTTCCTCTGTCCATGGGATTTCCCAGGCAAGAATAATGGGGCGGGTTGACACTTCCTCCTGCAGGGTATCTTCCTGACCCAGGGATCCAACCCAGGTCTCTTACATCTAATGTATTAGCAGGTGGGTTCTTTACCACTAGCCCCACCAAGGAAGCTCATATACATATATAATTACCTTTCTATAAGTAATATAATTACATACTATTTAGGCATGGCTCTAAGCACTCTCTATTCATACATTTAAACCTTTAATAACCTTGTCAGAGGTCTATTATCATCCCCATCTTACAGATAAGAAAAAGATGACATATAGATATTAAGTAATCTGTCCATGTCCAGCCATGTGTTTATTTGTAGTTCATTCATTAATTCATTCATATGTCCAATAAGTAGTGCCTGCCATATAGGAACTGCCTGCTGGAACTGGCAAAATGAAATCCCCTGCTTCCATGGAACCAGCTGTTACTGAATAATGTTATATAGTGTTTATTGTGCCCACACCACAGGCTTGGTGTGACTCACTGCATGGTAACCCTGCTGGGTGTTTTAGAATGTCCCTTCTGGGTAGAGAAATGGAGATCAAAGGAAGAGAGGTCTGACTGTAGTGACATGCATTTCCTAAGCACCCCGTGACCCTGTGCTGGGCATAAGAGTCAGCAAGTAACACAAGAGCAAGGGTCCTGCATCCAGGTGGGGAATCTGGACCCTCCAACAGGCGTTTTGTATGTGCGTGCCTGCTCAATTGCTCAGACTCCGACTCTTTGCAACCCCGTGGACTGTAGCCTTCCAGGCTCCTCTGTCCACGGGATTTTCCAGGCAAGAATACTGGTGTGGATTGCCATTTCCTCCTCCAGAGATCTTCCTGGCCCCAGGATAGAACCTACATCTCCTGTGTCTGCTGCAGCTCCCAACCAGCATTAGGGAGCTGGAAAGAGGGTGATCAACCTGGTCCAAGGAGGGAGGGCTGGGGTGTTTACACTGAAGCCTGAAGCACGGCTCAGGGGTCATAGGAGACTGTCAGTCACAGGGACCCACAGGTATAAACACTCAGCGGGAAGGACTGCTGTCATGAAGTGCAAAGTGGACAGGATGTGGGGTGGGTAAGAGGAGGTCAGGGAGGTCTGCGGGGGTGGATGCATCAGGGCTTTGTGGGCTAGAAGGAGTCTGGTAGAGATGGAAAGATATGGAAGGCGGGAAACCGAGGAAGAAGGGGCCAGCTTTGCTTTCCTCAAAGATCCTCTGGCTGTTGTGCAGAAGAAGACAGGCAGGGAGACTGTTTTGGAGGCTGTTGAGATACTCCGGGGGAAGCCGGTCAACCTAGCAGGACTGGGGGCATGGAGGGCATGTTTGGGTGCTAGAAATGTCTGGAAGATAAAACTGGTAGATCTCGGTGGTGGCACTAAAGAAGGGGACCAGAATGATTGCCTGGTTTCTAGGTTAGACCTCTTCTCTCAGCTCCCCAACTCAGAAAACCCCTTCAGGTCTCAAGCTGACTGTCTCCTCCTTGAGGAAGCCTAAGCCTACCCCCGACCCCGACCCCTCTGCCCCCGGCAAATGTCCTGATGAGATGGACACTGGACAAGGCAGCCTGGGAAACTGTTGTGACTTTGAAAGTGTAGATGAATGAGTTTATTCCTGTTTGCTCCTCTAGCCTGTGAACAACTGGGGCAGGGGCATTTTCAGTCTTCCCCAACCTGTCTCCCCAGCACCTAGACAAAGCTGGGCACACAGGAGCCCCTCTGTCAATGGTCACTGAAAGCAGGAAGAATAAATGTGGCACAAAGCATGTGGATTCTAAACCCCTTTGCTGAAATTCAAGAAGATGATGATTCAGATGCCTGCTCTGCTCTAAGCACCTTATAAAAAAGATATTCAAGCTAATGATTTACTCCTTCAACAACCTCTAAGGTTTTATTATCATTACTCCCATTTTACAGATGAGGAAACAGAAGTTCCATCAGGTAACTGGGCTTGATCAAGGACAATAGCTAGTACACGTCAGAGCTGAGATGCAAACTCAGGATGGTGGCGAGGGGGTGGGAGGGGGGAGGCTGAAGTGGGAATGGGAGGTGATCCAGCAGTGGGCAGGAAGCTAGAACAGAGGGGCAGGTTCGCTTCTCTTGCTGGAAGGATGTGGGGTTACCCTAACTAGCTGGGTACCCAGGCTTCACAGAGGACTTTGATCTTGGGTATCGGATCCAGGTGACTGGCTGTCATGGCAACGTGGCCCTAAAAAGATGCTGATCTCTCTAGAAGCTCCGCAGGGCACTCTAGCAACGTGCCCTTTCCCCAAAACTCAGTTGCACCATCTGGCCCTGGCACAGGACAGATGATGCCTCGGGTGGTGCTCCCACCCACGTCCTGCCCCCTGCACACACACATCGCTGACTTTGTACCAATGTCCCAATGCTCAAAATGCTGTGTACTGCCTCAGTCACTGTGGATGGGAGATGGTCTTCCCAAAGGTGTGAGACTCAAAGATTCATGAGCTGGGATCTAGCAGAAACGTAGCGTTGTCCCAGCTTGCCGAAGCATTGTATCCCGAAGCCGGCGTTTACAGCAAAACTCATGCAGAATCCAGAGCAGCACTGGGAAGCCCTCGTGAAGGCTGTGGGCACCGTGGCCACGCGGCCAAGTTCAGCTCCACCAGTGCCCCCAGCTTCGTGCCCGTGATCGCTTCTGCTGAGCACCTGATAAAGCAGAAACTGAAAGTTTCTGTTTCAAATGCAAAAATGTGACATCTGTGAGCTCTGAAATCCTGTTCCAGGTGGTGAGATGCTCACATTTCAAGAGACACGTAGGAACTAGGACCCAAGGGAGGAACAATAATAGGTTTATAACTCTCATGTCACCCTCACTCCTGGCCTTTTTAGATGTTCTTTTCTTTTCCTTGTTTCATTTTATCCTGTTACTTATTTTTGCTTGAACTTTTTATTGGTTCTCTGTTTTCTGTTACCACATTTTGTTTATTCATAAATTCAGTAGCAAAAGTTAAACATATTGATAAAAACGAATTAAATATAAAATAATTAGTTTGTTATTTTCTTCCAAGTTTTTTAAGCTGTTTTTGCCAAGTGTATATATTATGCATCAGCGATGCTAACGTGCACATTTTTTTAATATAACACCTGTGAGAAAATAAAAACATCACCCAATCAAAAAATGGGCCAAAGAACTAAACAGACATTTCTCCAAAGAAGACATACAGATGGCTAACAAACACGTGAAAAGATGCTCAACATCACTCATTATCAGAGAAATGCAAATAAAAAACCACAATGAGGTACCATTACACGCCAGTCAGGATGGCTGCTATCCAAAGTCTACAAGCAATAAATGCTGGAGAGGGTGTGGAGAAAAGGGAACCCTCTTACACTGTTGGTGGGAATGCAAACTAGTACAGCCACTATGGAGAACAGTGTGGAGATTTCTTAAAAAACTGGAAATAGAACTGCCATATGGCCCAGCAATCCCACTTCTGGGCATACATACCAAGGAAACCAGATCTGAAAGAGACACGTGCTCCCCAATGTTCATCGCAGCACTGTTTATAATAGCCAGGACATGGAAGCAACCTAGATGCCCATCAGCAGACGAATGGATAAGGAAGCTATGGTACATATACACCATGGAATATTACTCAGCCATTAAAAAGAATTCATTTGAATCAGTTCTAATGAGATGGATAAAACTGGAGCCCATTACACAGAGTGAAGCAAGCCAGAAAGATAAACACCAATACAGTATACTAACATATATATATGGAATTTAGAAAGATGGTAATGATAACCCTATATGCAAAACAGAAAAAGAGACACAGATGTACAGAATTTTGGACTCTGTGGGAGAAAGAAGGCGAGGGTGGGATGTTTCAAGAGAACAGCATCGAAACATGTATATTATCTAGGGTGAAACAGATCACCAGCCCAGGTTGGATGCATGAGACAAGTGCTCGGGCCTGGTGCGCTGGAAAGACCCAGAGGGATCGGGTAGAGAGGGAGGTGGGAGGGGGCATCGGGATGGGGAACATATGTAAATCCATGGCTGATTCATGTCAATGTATGACAAAAACCACTACAATACTGTAAAGTAATTAGCCTCCAACTAATAAAAATAAATGGAAAAAAAAAAGAAAATAAAAACATCAACAGCTTTGAGTGGAAAGCAATCTGGAAGGTTTACACTATAAATGCAAAGAAATTTAAGGACTCACTTCACTGATAGATTTCCAGCTTGTTTTCTTTTTATGGGATTCACAAAATTGACAAGCTGAAAAAGTTTTGCCTAAATATTAATAAATTTAAATACATATTTATATATAAATATAAAAAGTTTAAAGTAGTTCTTTCAATAAGTATGAAATAACAATTCTAAGTGATTAGAAAGTAACTGTTAGATTCGAATGGATAGTATTTCTCTTTGTGTTTCTTGGATCACAAGATCAGGTGGCATCTTGCCTTTGAAGAGGTCTAAGCACTGAAGAAATATGAAGGTTGGGTCTGCGTGGCTCATACAATTCCACTACAGCCGAGTTTCAGAGCTGTACTCACACGCCTTAGGAACTGAGAATGGGCATCTATGTAGCTTGATACCGGGCTCCGAGGACTGTGGACACTTAGAGATGCATTACAGAATCACTGAGGATCACGGAACTTTGGAAACACAGAGTCCCAGCATCGGAATCTTGAGGCTGGATGGACTTGTCTAAGGTGGCATTTTACAGATGGCAAGAATGAGTCCCTGGGTACAGGAGCAGTTTGCCCAACATTTGGTAGCTCCTAGCAGTAAAGTAGGACTGACACCCATATCTCCTGATTCTTACCCAGGGCTCCTACCTTCTGGTCCAAGACAAGACTGCCTGACTTGAAACGCAAGAGGCTGGTCAAGTTGGAGGGTGGGAGAACTAGGGTGGGAGGAAGAAGGAAAATGCATGTCCCAGAGGGGAAAATCTTCAGCTTTGAAGCTCAGCAAAACCACAGAGTGGGGTGTCATGAGGCCCCACTTTTCTTTCCGGCTTCCTCTTTGCCACACTCTGCATTCCTTTCTCACCCCCGACCTCCGCCCACTCAACCACCAAGCTACTCCTCCCACTTTAATAAGCGTCACTTGGACCCACCACAAGCTCTCTCCTCTGTGACTTTGCCCACGGAGCTCCACAGCTGCCAAGTCGAGCTGTGCAGGTTGGGCACTGCACAAGGGTACCATGCTGACATCATAGACATCACAGATTTATACCAATACTTTCTGGCAGATGGCAGTCAGATGTCTTCTTTTGTTTGTTCTATTTGGCTGCATTGGGTCTGGGTTGCAGCATGCGGGATCTTTTCCTGAGGACACACGGGTTCCCTAGTTGTGGTGCACAGGTTTAGTTGTTCTGTGGCGTGTGGGATCTTAGTTCCCCAACCGGGGATCAAACTCACGTCCCCTGTATTGCAAGGAGGGTTCTTAACCACTGGATCACAATGGAAGTCCTGGCGGTCAAATGTCTTGAGGAAGAAGTATCTTTTTATCATTTGCACAAAGGTGCCATGTAGGGTAGCAGGGACCCTGCGTTTGCTCTGTCTGGAATGCCGTCTCCTTCATTTACCACCAAGTAAGCTCCTGATTCATCCTTCAAGGCCCCCTTCAAATACCCTCTCCTCCAGGAAGATATCCATGGCAACACCTCCCCCAAGGCTTCCCGCAGAGATTAATGATTCATAACATCGGTCAAAGCTACTTGTTGACCCAGGAGTCATACTGCCTGATGTAGGTTTCCAGCATGGGGCATGTGCCGTCTATAGCAGGAGAGATGATGCTAGGTGGAACTTGGACCCAGGACTAAATTGGACACAAGAAAATAACCTTCTTTTGACTCTTGTTTGATTAAATCAGAGAGAAACAGCTCAGTTTGGGCAAGCACTTCTTTCAGACCTCCCTCTGACACTCGCTAATCACCCATTTCATTGAAGAGTGAGCAGGCTGCAGGCTAAAGCTTAAGCAAGCAGTGGTATCTGCTGATAACGCAGTGCTTGGCATTCTTTAAATTATATTTACTTAAATGACTGCTTCCTATCTATGGCATAGGATGCCAGTTTTCCATATCCTGTAGTGTTATCAAGTTTTACTTACAAATCAATGCACTTAAGCACACAAGGCTATCTATTTAAACAAAAATGTTAAGTAACAAAACAGGTGGTAAGAAGAGAAGGCCAAAAAAAAAAGTCAGAATAGTACCTGAAGGAGTAGAATTTGAAAACACAGATTTTTTTTTTTAAGACTGTGACTCTGAAACCTGACTGGGTTCAAATCTTGATTGACAGCTGTGTGACCTTAGACAAGTCACTTTCCCTCTCTGGCCTTCAATTTCCTTACTTGTTAAATAGGAATAATTATACAATACTGGCCTCCTAGAGTCATCCAAATGCTGAAGCTGAAACTCCAATACTTTGGCCACCTGATGCGAAGAACTGACTCATTTGAAAAGACCCTGATGCTGGGAAAGATTGAGGGCAGGAGGAGAAGGGGATGACAGAGGATGAGGCAGTTGGATGGCATCACCGACTCAATGGACATGAGTTTGAGTAAATTCTGGGAGTTGGTGATGGACAGGGAGGCCTGGCGTGCTGCAGTCCATGGGGTCGCAAAGAGTCAGACACGACTGAGTAACTGAACTGAAGAGTTGTCCAAATGATATACAAAGAGAATGCAAAGAACTTAGTGGTACTTGCTGGGTTCTTTTTTGTGTTTTTTTTTGAGTTGTGGTTTTTTAAACTTAAAAAAAAATTGTTTGATTTATTTGGCTGTATCAGGTCTTAGCTGCAGGGTGCGGGATCTGCGTTACATCATGTGGGATGTTTTGCTGTGTCGCATGGGCTCTCTAGTCAAGGTGTGAGGATGCAGTTGCCCAACAGCGTGTGGAATCTTAGTTCCCTGACCAAGGATTGAACTCGCGTCCTCTGCATTGCAAGGTAGTCTCAACCACTGGTCCACCAGGGAAGTCCTATGCTTGCTGTTTTGATTATTACGATACTTATCAAGACGGAGGAAGTTGCGTGCCAACACTGAGGCCTGCATCTGTTCATAGACCCAGGAGACAGCTTGGCTTCAGGAATTTTTATTTGCATGGGGAAGGTGGGGATGATAAGCCTGCAGCAGGGCAGGCCGCATGAGCGGTGCGTGGACTCACTTGGGCGGCTCAGCGGCCAGGACGGGGAAGCAGCCTTCGCGATGCCACTGCCGGTCACGCAGGCGGCGCACGGCCTGCATCTGTGGCTGGAAGGCCCCCCACTCGTTCCAGTGCCGGAAGTCACCAGGCTCCAGGAGGTACTGGTACCCACGGTAGCCGGGATACTGGTAGCCGACCCAGCTGGGGAGAAAGCAAGAAGGACGGTGTGGAGGTGGCCTGTCTCACTACCTGGCACCTGGACACCCCCTTGGACCAGCCGGTCCTCCATCCAGCCCGGCAGCCTGCTCTCCACCCCTCACCTGTCCTCGCTGGCTGGGGGCACCCGGGGCTCCTCTGGGCAGGCTTGGCCCCTTCCTACTGGCTCTGGGCAGTGATCTTACCTCTCTGACAGATCTCGGCTTCCTCCTCTAAGTGAAGCAGGGATGGTCATGGGAGCTGGTTTATGAGGGTTTGGGGGGCCAAAGGGGAAAATGAATCAAAGTACTTTGCTAAGTGGATTGCGGATACATGGTAGGGAAACTAATATACATTCCACTGAACGTGATGACCTGGAGCTCAGAGAACAGGATCCAAGGGAATGAAGACAGGGCTTGGGGACTGGTTAGCAACAAGAAGGGGCACTCTTGTTTCAAAAGGTAGTTTCCTTTGTTGGAAAGTGAATTTGTGTGAAGTGGCTGGGAACACACCTTCTGGTGTGTTCAGACAACTAGTTCAAATCCTAGCTCTGCCATTTCCTAGGTAGGTGACTTATCAGAACCCCAGCTTGCTATCTGTGAAATGGGGATGATGACAAACCTGCCTCATGGGTGTATTGTAAAGACTCAATGACTATTCATTGAAAGAAGTTAGCATGGTGCTCGGTCCATTGTAAGCACTTAATACAAGTTATTATCCATGATTAATTTCTAATTATGCCATTGCCTCTGCTGGGAGGGTCTTTCCAGGTCTCTCTCAGACCCCCTGCTCATCTTTCAAAGTCTGGCTTAAGTTCCAGCCTCCTCAGGTAAACCTTGGACCTGCCCTCCACTCCAGTGCAGAGAACCTAGTCCCAGAAACCTTTCTTCTCCCTCTTATCTCCTGTGTGGACCATCTCTTATCTATTTTTGCTGAACATCATCTCACAGGTGCACTGACATCTCCCTGCTAGACTGAATAAGCCTCTGAAGGCAGGAGCTAAGCCTTCTTCACCTCTGCCTTCTGCTGTGTGCCGAGCACAGAGCCTGGCTTATTGACAATGTTTGGTAAATTTCAGATGGCTTACATACTGGAATACTGGGTCTCAGGGAAGGACAAAAGAGCAAGAAAAAGACCACCGCCCTGATGGTGTTATAGAAACTCAGAAAAGCATCTGGGGTGGAGAGGTGGATGCTTTCCACGTGCCTCGAGGTGATCAGGGGTGTCTCGTACGGTTCTTTGGAGGCAGGGGAATGGATAAAGTGACCTCCTTTGGGTATCCAGCCCTTCCTCGAGTTCTCAGGGTGGGGGTGGGGGCCTCTGTTTTGAAAGCTTCAAATCCTAGAGTTCAGAGCAGAACTCTTAATCCTCTTAATCCTCTGGGATTAAGAACTCTGATGTGCCCATTGTATAGAGGACAACACTGAGGCCGAGAGGGCTTGTGGCTCACCCAGGGGCCACAGAGCATCAGTGGCAGGGTCAAGGCCCTTTCGTTACAGTCTCACCTCTCAGATGTCTCTCCGCTCACACCCCCAGAGGCTCCAATCTCCCTGGATATTTCCGTTTCCTTGACCCATGCACACAGACTGGTCTACTCACATCCACTCTGCCCCTCCTCGCTTCACTTTCTCCAACCCAAACACGGGGCTAGAAGCCCCTACTCGCTCCATCTTCCCACTTCTTAGGACAATTGCTAGCTTTGTTTACACCAACATGTGATTCATCAACACAGGACTCCACCCCCGCCCCCTAAGGTGATGACACTCTCTTGGCAGAATCCAGGCCTCCGGCCTTTCCTGCACATCTGATGTCGCATCCTGTCCGGGGCGGGCTGGGGGGTGCCTTCCCAGCCTGCCTGAGCTTGAAATGAAGCAGGGGGTGAGGGCCCACAGGAGCAGAGCTTACGTTCCACTGGAGACCTTCACACTGCCCACGCGGTCACAGAAGCCGTAAACCCAAAGGCTGGGCACGTCATCCTCCTGGATCTCCATGGTGTTGCCCTTGAAGTTGGCCCCTTCGAACAGGCAGAGCTTGTGCTCCTGGGCGTCCTGGGAAAGGAGAGAGGGGGTCAGGGGTGTGAAGGGTAAATGGGGCCTCCTGGGCATGGAGAGAGAGAGAGCTGAGCCTGCTCAGGCCATCACGGGACTGACCCCGGATTGTCAAAATCCAGCCTCGAAGTGCCCTTCTCATCCGGAAATATGAGGATATCAGCCTCTACTTCACAGAGCTAATCCATAGAGAACACTTAGCATGATGCCTGGCATACACCAAGTGCTCCAGACAAATTTACTCAATATTTTTATTATGCTGATCAGGGGTGCAGAGGCTCAGAGACGTTAAGCTTCGTGACTGGCATCACACAGCCAGCCAGGGGCAGAACCCTCCAGAAGCGTGTTCCTGCTCCCATCCCCTCTTGCATTCTGCTCCGCGCCACTGCTTCTGCTGTGGCAGCCCCCCCTTTTAGCTCCTTGTTCCACCCAGCCCGTCTTCACTCCAGGAACCCTGCCCCCACCGTCCCCCGGAAGGCTGTGCCCACGGCTGACTCGGCGCCCATCCTTTGGGAGTTCTCTCCTTGGATCACCCCCAGCCACTCCCACCCCCTCCTTCCCCAACACCAGAGCCTCGGTTTCCTCTTCCCCTCTCTGAGCACACGCTGCATGGCCCCCGTGCAGTAAGCACCACGGCTGTTTGCCATTACAGGTGGACTTCTGTGATTAGGTTTTCAATAGCTGCCTCCCACGGGGGCAGGGACCCTGCCTGTTGCAAGCACACTTGCACATCCAGAGCCTATGACAGAGCCTGGCAGAAACACATCCACGTGTCTGTGGTGGAATGAATGACTGCATGTGGGAGATGGTCGAGACAGAGATCCCTCTAACATCCCAGGAGAGAGGGCTGGAAAGGAGCCAGGGAACCCAGCTGGGAGAAAGTTGGAGGTAAGAGAGAAAACGGGCCACCCAGGACGGTGGCAGGGCTACAGGGAAGGGACTAGACCAGTGGCTCTTAGCCCTGGCTGCCCAGAGATCTCAGAGGCGTGGAAAGAAACCAGTGCCTGTGAATGAGCCCCAGAGATCTGGATTCAGTTGGTCTGGGGTGGGGTCCTGGCATTGGGACTTTTTTCTAATTATATATTTTATTTAAGCAAATATGTCTAAATTATGCTAATTTCAATAGGCAGACAACACAGCAATATTAATGAGGTCTTTAAAAAAAATTTTTTTTGGCTGTGCCATGTGGCATGTGGGATCTTAGCTCCCAGACCAGGGATTGAACCAGCACCCCTGAGTTGGAAGTGCGAAGTCTTAACCACTGGGCCACCAGGGGAGTCCCTAATGAGGTATTTTACATTCTTAATTTTTCTTTTGTGCTATGTATTCAAAGCCTGCCATGCATGTTACACATCTCCATTCAGACTAGCCAAGATTCGAGTGTTTAAGAGCCACATGTGGCTACTATATTGGACACAGCAAAGCTCAAGAAGCTACTGGAAGTGACCCAGCTGATTGCTGTGTCAAACAACTGTATGTTGACCTAGACTGACTTATAAGGACCATTGATTGGGAGAAGAACCCATGAATTCGCGCAAAGCGTCCATTGTTAAGGCTGATAATTCAGCCTCAGATTCTGAGAACATGATCAGATTGGATAACCCATTCACATAGATCTGGTGAGGCCAAACAACTGGCTGTGGGTACCTGATAGTCTCAAATGGGCGTGCGTGAAAACTCTACGAAAATTCCCACCACGGAAAGCAGAAGTTGTTACCATCATCAGAAACTGACCGTGGTGAGTGAAGACATGGCTGGTTAATGAATCGCCATCAACATAATTCTGAAAAAAAACCTGTGAATGGCTTGGGGATAACTCCAACCTATTTCAGCTTTGAATCTTCTTGAAGTTATGTTACCTCCTTTAGTTAAACATTACAAAGGGGCTAATTCAGTATATAGTCTTTATTGTCAGGGAGTTCACTGTGCCCTTCTGCAATATCCCTCTTTGCAGCCATCACGTAAACTTCAACCTGCATGTCTGGCGCTTTGGGTGGGCTTTAAGACTTTTCAAGACTCCCCAGGAGGCTCAGTGATAATCTGCCTGCCAACGCAGGAGACACGGGCTCCATCCCTGACCTGGGAGATCCCACATGCCTGGAAGCAGCTGAGCCTGAGCCCCACCACTGTTGAGCCTGTGCTCTAGAGGCCGGGAGCTGCAATGACTGAAGCCTCTGTTCCCTGGAGCCTGCGCTCCACGAGAGAAGCCACCGCAACTAGAGAGCAGCTTGTGCGCTGCAACGAAGGGCAGACCCCGCTCTCTGCAACCAGAGAAAAGCCTGCGGACAAATGGAAACCCAGCAAAGCTAAAAAGAAAGAAATGAAACTATACTTAAAAACAAAACTGGGTTCCACGCGCCCTGGGCTCCTGGCTGGAGCTAGGCGTGTGATGAGGGTATCACGGGTGCCTTGTGAATTGAGCAGCAGAGAGCCATCGCCCTTGGACGAGCTCAGAGGTCACCGCCCAGCGTTCCTTCTTCATTTCCCCTGCTTGTCTGACGCCTTGGCTGTCCTGGCCGTCACACCTCAGGCTTGCTCCTACCCTGCCCCAGAATCCCCCCCCGTCCCGAGCCCGGCCCAGGGGCCACTCACCATCCGGACGGGCCGGAAGGACATGAGCCGGTCGCTGCGGTAACTGCTGGACCACGTGTCCCAGCGCGGGTACTCGCCTTTCTCCAGGACGAACATCTCCCCCCGGAAGTTGGACTGCTCAAAGGCGACCCAGCTGGGCGGGGAGAGAGGTGGGCAGGGTGGGGAGAGTCAGGAGGGGCGAAGGCAGAGAGGAGAAGCCATCATGGGCAGAACCCTCTCCCCCCACTGGCCTTCCCATCTTTACCTTGCAGCACAGCCCCAAGGCTGGAGGTGGGGAGAGGCTGGTCCCACTGACTGACGGGGAGACTACGGGCAAGACGCTTCACTTCTCTGCGCCTCGGTTTCCTCATCTAACTTGCCTATCTTCTTGAAGTTGGTGCAGGATTAAATGAGATGGTGTGTATAATTACAGAAGCCAAGTATCTCCCCAGATGTAGAATTTACACATAATTTTAGCACTGTGAGGACTTGGGGGAAATAACATATCAGAAAACATTTTAAAAAAACCCCAAAGACTCTTGAGAGTCCCTTGGACTGCAAGGAGATACAACCAGTCCATCCTAAAGGAAATCAACCCTGAATACTCATTGGAAGGACTGGTGCTGAAGCTGAAGCTCCAATACTTTGGCCACCAGATGCAAAGAGCTGACTCACTGGAAAAGACCCTGATGCTGGGAAAGATTGAGGGCAGGAGGAGAAGGGGACGGTAAGAGGATGAGATGGTTAGATAGCATCACTGACTCTCTGGACAGGAATGTGAGCCAGCTCCAGAAGACAGTGAAGGACAGAGGACCCTGGCGTGCCGCAGTCCATGGAGTCGCAAAGAGTGGGGCTTAGCGACTGAACAACAACAATAATTTATCTTTGTAGCAAGGAAGAACAGGCCACCAACCCAGAGCCTTCAGCAGGCTATTATACTGTGTTCATGGTAGGAGTCTTTTCCACAGATACCTTTTACTTACGCAGGTGATACTATCTTCCCATTTGTAAAAATGATGCAAAAAGTTCTTTTGATATATATTTATTTGTGTCAAAAAAGAATCATTTTAAAATGAAGTAGGGACTTCCCTGGTGGTCCAGTGGCTAAGACTCCACACTCCCAACGTAGGGGGCCCGGGTTTGATCCTTGGCCAGGGAACTAGATCCCATAGGCCGCAACTAAGAGTTTGCATGCCACAGCTAAAAGATCCCACGTGCCACAACTAAGGCCCAGGGCAGCCAAATAAATAGATATTATTTTAAAAAATCAAATAAATATATTAAACAAATAATATTCCTGGAGGTATGGGGGTAGGGAAAAATTGATACAGGTGCTTGAATCATGTTTGATGAAGACTGGCCTAGCACACAGAATACAGTAATCAGAACAGGGGCAGTGGAAGGGGAAATGAAAGTAATATTTGCCTCTCAGATACCTATGAGAATTAAATGTGATTGTGCATATGTAGGTGTTCAGTTTTCATTACAAGCTTGACGTCGGATGGGGGCTTTCTCAGCGCAGCCTGATTGAGGATGGGAAGTGAGCTTTTGTTAAAAGGACCAGGGATTCTGGGGGAGATAAGATGATGCCCATTTCATAGATGGGAAGGCGGTGACGAAAGAGCCCCTTAAACTTTCCTCACTGTGTTTCGGAGTTCTCAGGGAACAAGAGAGGGCTGGGGGATGCTGACATTAGTCTCATCTCCCTGATGGGGGCTGGGACCCTCCTCTACCCAGAATGAGAGGGGGAAGATGGGGGCAGGGGAGGTTACTACCACGGACTGATATAGGATGTGTCCAAGGAGCTTCAGGTCTCATCTGAGGAAGGTGCCAACCCACACAGCAGAGTGACAGAAGTGATAATGCAGATTTATTCTTCCAGAATAGAGGTGAATCTGCCTCAGCCACACAGAGGCTGGAGCATATGAGAAAAGGATGGGCAGATGGATGGGTGGGTGGATGGATGGAGGAACTGATGTTGAATGAACGGGCAGATGGGTGGATGGACAGGTAGGTAGCCGGGTAGATGGCTAGGTCTATGGATCTGTGGAGGAGTGTATTGATGGCTGGCTGGATGCATGATGGAGAATGGATGGATGGAGGGAGTGATGAGTAGAGGGATAAATAAATGGATGGAGAATGAATGTGCAGATGGATGGATGAACTGATCTGTAGATGGACGAGTGGGAGCCTTGGAAGATGGTGCCATGCAGGAGTTAAGAGGACAGACTTTGGAAACAGACAGACCCCAGTTCTAATCCCAGTTTAGCCATTTATTTTCTGTGTGACTCTGGGCAAGTCACTTTAGTTCATTAAGCCTCCATCAAGGAGAAGAAAGGATTGCATCTACCTTGTCAGAAGGTGATGAGGGTCTAAAGAGAAAACACAAGCAGCAAGATCATTCATGATTAAAGAGGAAGGGAAGCCGGAGATCTGAGCTTATGGAAAGACAGACACTGATGTGGTCTTGCCACCCTGACACCCTCTCCTAAAACTGTCTTATTCAGGAGTCACAGTGCCCAGTGAGGACCTGGTATATAAGTGAGGAGTTGTCTACATTAGTGCCTTCTCTCATCTCCTGTGGCTCATATGAGCAAGCAGAGAGGTAGGGCAGGAATCTCAATTCACAGATATGGGAAACTGCGGCTCAGAGGGGTTAAGTCACCAGTCTAAAGTCACATGGCGGTGGTGGCGGGTGTCGCTGACGCCTCCTAGGTTTCAGGCGGGCTTGCCTCCCCTCCCCACCTGTGTGAGAGCACATCTCTCCTCCCCTCCCCTGCCCACCCCATCCCCTCCGTCGCTTTCTCCACCACTGTTTCTCCCAGGGCCCTGCTGGTCCTGACATGGGCCCAAGGCCCTGGAACACAGGACCTTATCTCTCCCACCAGTCGCAGTCCCAGAGCACACACCAAAGACCAGCTGCATCTTTGTTGGAGGAGAAATACTCTGGGTTTGAGTCACTGATAATGAAAAAAGCCTGAAAACCCAAACTGGCCACATCCGGCAGCTCCTCTTCTCAGCTGGGCTTTGACTCGTGGGTGGGGCTGAGGTTACCAGCCTGCCCCGGCCCATGGTAACATGGCTAAACATCAGGAAGCGTCAATAATCTTCGTGACCACCAGCCAATGTCTGGGCACCCACAGAATGCCAGTCCCATGCTGCATTATTGCCTTCAGACTTGAGAACAATCTAGCAGGAGGGAGTGGGGACCATTACTCTGCCCATTTCAGAGATGAGGAAATTGAGGCTCAGACACTTTACAAGGTAAACAGGAGAGTTGGGACTCACACCCAGGCCTGTCTGACCTCAAAGCCTCTCTACCCTCTGTACCACCCAAAGTCCCAGGATGCTGGACGTACAGGCTGATCACACCCCTTGGGGGCTTTTTGGCTGGAGAGATGAGGCAAACGGGCCCAGTGGGTCTTGTCCAGCGGTTGGGCCTGCGCCCTGAGCGTAGTCCACAGGGGTTGAAGTTGCCACAACCACAATATCCAAGGAAAAAAAAAATGATATAAAATGATATAAGCACTGTGAGTGAAACTTGTCAACCTGAGTCAAACCCAGGCTCTGCCACTCACCCTTTGAGCCTTGGTTTCGCCATCCGTCAAATGGGAATTAGGAACCACCCCTCCCCCACACAGCACTGTAGGATCATCGAGGTAAAGTCCTCAGTAGGTGCCCAGTAGTACCTCCTGGGTACTCAACAGAAGGTCATTACTATCCTAAAGCCTACAAGCTGCCCAGGAGAGGGGCCAGCTAGTGGACACCCGGCCCTTTGCCCTCCTCCTGCCATCAGTGATGGGCAGGGGGCTCCTTCTGTAGCAGAAACAACATTTCTTTAGAGCCTGGAATCATGCCTTATTGTCAGTGTGACCTTATCCTTATCAGATCACCTCTCTGAGCTTCAGTTTCCTCATCTGTAAAATGGGAAGGAGAATCATACCTCTCTTTCCTCCCTCTTGGGTTTGAAACAAGCCCGAGAAATAATACACAGTTGGCCCCAGTACAGAGGGTCCTGCATCTGTGAATGCAGAGGTCAGGCTGGACTATGCCATTTACACCAGGTACTTGAGCACTGGCAGATTTCAGTATCTGCTGGGGGTCCTGGAACCAGCCCGTGGAGAGTACTGAGGGCTGACCCTGTGCGGCCCCGGCTAGCACAGGCAAAGGCAGTAAAGAGCAGCTATGGCTGTTTTGGTATTCCTGGTTTACTAAGGCTGCGGGAGTGCCCCCCCCCCCCCAAACACTCACGGTCCGGAGGTGACAATGAGGCTGCGCACTCGTTCGAAGCCACGGTCTCCCAGGTTCAAGCACTCCCCGGAGAATTCCACCCGCCGGCCCTGGAAGTTCTCCTGCTCAAAGACCACCAGCTGCAGGAGAGAGGCCCCCGTGCCCAGGAAGCAGAGTGAGGGGGGAGTACCTCCAAAGCGGAGAGGCTCCAGGGCAAATATGCATTAAGTGCCCAGGAAGCAGAGTGAGGGGGGGAGAGGCTCCAGGGCAAATATGCATTAAGTACCTATGTACCGAAGAGCAGGCCGTGCCCAGATCACCCGAGAGCTTGCTGGGAGCCAAGGTCTGTGAAATGACCCTGTCTTGCCTTCCCTCCACTTCTGAACTTAGTATCTGTACCGTCTTTAGGAACTGATGGATATTCCTTCCAGGCCTTTATCTGTGCTGTTCCTTTTGCCTGGAATGCCCTCTCCACCACACACCCCAATCCGGGAGCTCATGTCCCCTGTCCTGTTCTAGGCTCAGATGTCACCTCCTCCAGGAAGCCCTCCCTGATACCCTTTCCCTGAGTGAGCTTGGTCGAGTGCCCCCCCCCCCTCCACTGTGCTCATCCCATCAGCAGCACAAGTTACACACACACAGTCACTGCTGGTTTGCTTCTGGGTCTCTAGGTACCCCTCTCCCCTTTCACTCACCCCTTCCAAAGACCAATGGGGTGGATCTATTTCTGTATCTCCCAGCCCCAGCTTCTGCCACAGAGCTGACGCTCAGGAAACATTCATAAGTCTACCCATCAAACCACAAGGGAGGCCAGAAGCAGGGGCCACTGTGTTTACGTGGGCTAATACCCTCCTCTCACTAAGCATCCAGTTTTGGTTTTTGTCCGCTCGTGGTCCCCAGCTGGGAAAACCGTCGCCATTCCCTTGAACCGAGGCAAGCGTGTGCCTTCTCCGAGCCCCAGTTTCCCCAGCTGTAACAGGGAGAGAGGTTCAACATACGCATGACCCAGCCCTTCCACTCCTATACTTATCCGCCCAAGAGAAGCAGGTGACATGGCCGAGAACACCCTGACCACATTGTTTATGACAGCACACTAGCACCCACCCCACGGTCGTCAGGAGTGATGGACACCCTCTGAAACACCACACAGCAGCCACAACAAATGACCCACAGCAACGCGCGGCAGTATCAGCGGCTGCTAGAAATCTCATAGGAGGTACAAAAGAAAAATGAAAACCCCGGAACGGTTACATACAGTATGTTTCAGTAAGTTAAAAACAAATGAAGTGTAAATATATACTTTTAAAGGAATAATGCATCAAAGCACATAAAACAGCAAGCAAGCAGGTGAGGGGGCGGGGTGAGGATAGCAGTTCCCTCGCGCAGGGGAGGAGGGAGGTGGGTTCCCGGGAGGGTGTGGGGGGCGCGTAGGAGGAGTGGAGGGGCGGGGGCGGGGAAGGGACTCTTTGAATTAGATAGAGGCTGTTTACCAAGTCCTGGCTTTTCGTGTAATTAGCGGGTTTGCAGATGCGTGTTGTTTTCATGAAAAATTAAATTGAAATTAAACCATTAAATAAGGGACCGTATAGGTAGAAGCCGGCCAGGGAGGGTGGACCGCCTGACAGCGTGTCATGACCCAATTCTGAATGCCCGCGGTTGCAACCCAACCCGGTCCCAGGGGACCGGATGCCTGGCTCTCCGGGAGCCCTTTCAGCTTGACCGGCCGCTTGGAAACACATTTCAGGAGGAGCTGAGGGGGGCCTTCTGCCCGAGAGGACCTTCTGGGACAGCTGTTTCCTGATGCTAACTAAGCCAGCCCGCTTTCTTTCCTTCTGTTTCTTGCTTTCGACAAACTCGAAAGCAGGTGCAAGCCTGTTGGGCATCCTGGCGGGGACGCGGGGGGGCAGGTGGGGAGGGAGAGGCGGCGGAGAGGCGGGGTCGGGGCGGGGATGGGCGGGGTCGGGGCGGGGGCGCGCAGGCGCGGGGGTGCAGCCCCCACCGCCCCGCCCCCAGGCCCGCGCTCACCTTGTAGTTGCCGGCAGGCAGGTCCCCTTTGGCCGCGGGCGCCGGCTGGGCGGGGGCCGGGGCGGGGCCGGAGCCCGGGGCGGGGCCTGGGGGCGGGGCCGCCTTCCCCTTCCCGTCGGGCCCTGGGTTCACGGCGGCGGTGGCCGAGGCCTTGGCCGCGGGCTGAGACATGTTTGCCGCCTGCGGAAGTTTTGTGAAGAGAACCCTTCGGCCCGGGTTCAGACAGGCCCGGCAACCCCCAGGCTGCCTCCCTGCTTCTCGTCCCCCCATCCGCGTGTATGCTCAGCCTTCTCCAAACTCACCTCCTCTCTTTCTCCTAAAACGGAAGCCTGGAGAGCTGTCTGTCCCATCTCCTCTTTGGCCTTCAAGGATTTCCCGTCTGGGGGGACCCCCTCATTCCTCCTAGCTGCCTGCACCCCGCTGGCTGCCGTGTCCTTCCTGTCTACCCCCTGGAGTCACTTCTCACGCGCCCATCACTTAGCACGCTTCTTGGCTTAAGGCAGCTACGATGTGCCCCAGCAGATTTCATAGCAAGAATGTCCCACTTGGGGAAGCCCCGGAGATAGGACCCTCGAGAATGAACGCATCCTTCCCTCAGGATAACCTCGGGTCTCCTCGCAGCAATCTGAGGCTCAGAGAGGGGAGAGGGCCTGCCCGAGGCCACCCAGCTGCCAAGTGGGGGGACTCCAGTTTCAATACCAGCAGACAAACCCAGCTACAGGGCTTTGCCACCTACTTATTTTGATCGACTCATCCTTCCACCCTCGGTGCCTGGCTCAGCACTTGGCACATAGGAGATGCTCACTTAACACCTGTCAGGAGACTGCATGAATGCCTCTTCCTCTCTCCTTTTTCTGAAACCGTGCCTCTGGCATTGCCTGGGAACGGGTGTGTGGGTGCAGACACAGGCCTGGGCTGCGGGAGGCTCCTGACACGAGAGGCTCAGGAGACGCCTGTCAGGGTTCTAAAAGAAGGGCTGTGGCCGTGTGGGCGTTGGGTGGAGAAACCTTTGGTCAGTTCCAGAGGTTCCTCCTTACTTTGGGGTCATGGGCGCCTTGAGTGTTTGAAGAACGACTTGTTTTTGTCCCCGGAGGGGGGGAAATGCCCCCTTTAACTTTGGAGACCGTTCATTCCCAGGGACTCCAGGACCCCCGCTGAAAGCACAGATCAAGAGTCCCTGGCCGCAGCTTCCTGAATACTTTCTGTGAGGAAGAGCTAGCTGGGGGCAAGCAGACCCCTCCCTGGGCCGCTCTTTAGAAAGGCTGTCACGACTCTGGGTGCTCTGCCCACCGTGGGGAGGCCAGACAGCTGGGCCACATCTGTGGCTTCCAGGCTCTTGCTTACCCCGCCCCCTGCCCGCCCCGCCCCCAAAGTCTGGCTCTGAATATCAACAGGCCCCTGGGGGGCACTGGGTTCCCACCTCCCTGGAGAGGTGCTCTTGCTTTCCGCATCCCCTGCCCCCCCAGCCCCAATCCCTCTCTACCTATCGCGCCCTTCCTCCTCCCCTCCCCCTCCCCCTGTTTTCCCGTTTATTCCCTCCTCTCTGTGCCTGCCCTTCTGTCTCTCTTTCCGCTTCTCTCTGCCCCAGTGTCTTGCCCTGTTTATGCCTCTGCACCCATCCGGTCTCTTTCTTCACTTTCTTTTCTTCCCTCCCTCTCTTCCTCTCTCTGCCCCCATCTCTCCCCACCTGGCTCCTGATGACCCTCTTCTGTCTGACTCTCTATTCCTGCTCTGTCTCTCTTGCTCATGCCCCTCCCCTCCCCTGGGGCTCTTGGCCGAGGGTGGGTCCCCTCTTACCTGGGGCCCTGCTATTTGCTGCTGGAGGACAGGCAGGCGGGCAGGCTTGGTGCAGTGGGTGACCAGGGGCCGACCCCCCATTTTATAGTCTGGCAGACACCAGATCCTGTCTTCTGTGGCACAAAGCGGCAGCTGGCTCAGCAGGCCCCGGGCAGAGAGTAGGGGGGCCTCGGAGCCCGGGCCCTGCTGGGTTCCTGCGGAGGGCAGCACTTTCCATTGTGAGCCCGGCACGCACAGCAGAAACCCTGGCCAGCAGCCACATGGCCTGGCCTCTGCCGGGCCCCTGCCCCGAAGCCGCTCTCACAAATGCCCGCTGGGGATGGGCCTGTGATGGGGTTCCCACTAGCTGCCAATCCAGGGAAAGGGGGAGCCTCCAGAAGGTCGGTTGGAGACCTGGGTTTGAATCCAGGCTCAGCCACTCTGCGCCGCGTGGCCTTAGCAAAGTCTACCCCTTGGGGCCCCTGCGTCTGCGGTTACAAGAGGCTCAGGTGTCCCTGTGGGGTTGCCTCACAGGAAGGCAGGGGACAAGGAAGGGGTAGCACTAACGCATTACCCCTGCCATCTGGGTCAGTCCCCAGGACAATCCACCTTATCGGGCCCTTTCATTATACCCATTTGGCAGATGAGCAAAACTAAGGTGCAGAGAGAGCAGAGCCAGGAATGGGGCGGGTGCAGGGGGAGCCAGGGAAACCAACTGGGAGAGAGAACAGGGACTCGGGTTGGGAGAAGTGGAGAGCGACAGAGAAAGAGGGATGATGCAGATGGAAATAAGGAAGGGTGATGGCGACAGAGATGGACAGAGACAGATGTCAAACAGAGCAACAAAGAGTCGGAACAAGGGAACGGATCCCAGAAATCTCTTCATCCAATCCCCTCATTTCACACTTGGAGAAACGGAGGCCCGGGGGAGGAACCATGGGTTTCCACACGGCCACATGGGATGAGTTGACAATCGAGCCAGGGCTGGGGGACCGCGGGGTGCTGCCGGGCCACGCCGGCCTGCAGTCTGCCTCCCCGGCCCCTGGTGCTGGTGATGGGCTGGGGGAGAACCGGATTCTCCTGAGGTTCTTGTTTCTTCTGTGGGGGTCCAGGGTCCCAGACTCCCCACAGAGCCCAAGTCCGCCTTGCGATCAGCATGGCCCAGGGGCAGCTCCACTGTCTGTCCACCCCCCACCTCGCACCCCCTCCCTTCCCAGCCTCCCCCCTCCCCACAGCCTTTCATCATGGGCCAAGGCCTTGGTTGTGGGGGGCAGCAACCGCAGGACGGGGGCCAAGATGCCTGTGGTGGGGGCCACCCACAGGTCTGGGCTTCGAAGCCAAGATGTCTGGGGCAGTTCCGTGTCCCCCATGGCAATGGGCGGTCAGCCAAAGGGTGTGGGCGGAGGGGGGGGGATCCCGGGCGGAGGTGGGGGGCCCCTCCCATGCCCCCCTCTCCCGCCCCCATCCTGGGTAGCTCCACTCTGAGCCTCTGACGGACGTGCTTCCTATAACCCTCATCGTTTCGGTGGGGGCGCTGGGATCGGTCCTCTTTGCAGATGAGGAAACCGAAGCAAATCCTTTTGCCCTCTCTCAGCCCATTTCCTCATCTGTAAAACAGAATTGGAAGTCACATGTTTTGAACTCCTGAACCCAAGCTCTTAAAAACCATGCCCTCGTGCTTTCATGCAAGTAAGTATTTTCAAGTAATTAAGCGCAATCATTAAGTATTTAATAAGCATTTAAGAGGAACCATTTCCCCCAGCTTTACTGAAGTATAACTGGCAACCAACAGAGGGTAAAGGTGTGTTGTGTGTTGACTTGATACATTTACAAATTGCAAAGTGATTGCCACCTCCCTGCCTTCACACAGTTACTATATGTGTTCTTGTGGAAGAACACGTAAGATCTGTTCCCTAAGCAGCATTTGAGTATACATTACATTATTAGCTATAATCACCATGCTGTACATTATTTCCCCAAACTCGTTAACCTTATAACTGGAAGTTTATGCCCTGTGAGCATCGTCTCCCTGTTTCCTCCACCTCCCAGCTCCCGTAACCTCCATCTTACTCTCCACTTCCCTGATTTTGTCTTTTTATGGTTCCATATGTAAGTGAGATCACACGTTGTTTGTCTTTCTCTGATTTATTTCACTTAGCATAACGCCTTCGGGGGTCTATCCATGTTGTCACGAACGGCAGAGTTTTTTTCTTTCTCAAGGCTGAATAATATTCCATTGTATGTCTACATATCACATCTTCTTTATCCACTCATTGGATAAAGAGTGGATGGATAATTAAGTTATTTCAGTTATCTACTATTGATGGATAATTAGGTTATTTTCACATCCTGGCTATTGTGCATAATGCTGCAATAATCATGGAAGTGCAGATGTGTCAATAGTAATTTTTTTAAATTAGCCGCAATGATGCCAGTGACCATGGAGACACGTGATGAATGTCAGGTTCCAGGAGCAGTTCCAGAAAAGCTATGCTGTTCGTGTATAATTCATGTTTCTCCTCACAATACCTCATCTCTTAGGCTGAGCCCAGTTTACCTGTACACCCATTTTACATATGCGGAAACTGAGGCTCGGAGAGACAAAGTAACAGGCTCAAGGTTACCCTGCCACCAAGAGTGGGACATAAACCCGGGCTGTCTGGCTACAGAGGCTGCATCCTTGGCCTTTAACCTTCCTGGCAACCCGATGTCAAAGTTGTACCTTTGATAGGGCTGCCTATCACCCACCCAGGAGGGCACTAGTGTTGCCTTCTCAGCTCACAGCTCTGTGAGCTGACGTGCACGTTCCCTAGCTCACCCGGAGGGATCTGGTTTCCACCCACGCTCTTCCCTATGCCGTGAGAGGACCCGCTTGGGCCAATGTCAGAGGGTGGGAGTGGGGGGAGACGTGTGCACGAAGCGACTTCTACGAGCCCTGGATGGTCGGCGGTGCGGCCCAGTTTGTAAAGCATGTTCAGGCCACCAGGGCCTTCCTCTGTCCATGGAGCCAGCTGGACCCCTCGCTGGGCTTTGTGGGCCCTGGAGGCCCTGACCCAGCCACCTGTCCTGTCTGCGTCCCTCTGCGCTCCTTCAGCCCCATCAGGCCACCAGCCCCAGGTTCCCACCTCTGCGCTCTTGCCTAGCAAAAGCATCTCACTCCGCTATAAATCCTCCACACCCTTCAGAGCCGAGTTTCAGTGCCACCTCTGCCATGAAGCCCACCCCGATTGCCCCCAACTGAAGAAGAAGACGGGACCTGGGAGAGGGGAAAGGTATGGGTGTTTGTTGAATGCCTGTGCCAGGCATGTGACATACTCTCATGCCATTTTATAGTTCATCCTCGCTCCATTTTACAGGAAGAAATGGGGGGAGGACCCGCCCCGGGTCACACGGCTAGGAAGGCTGAGGTTTTTGGACTCTTGGTCCACCACTGGATTAGGGTGGACCTTCCTCCTCTTGCCTCCTTCACGGGTGATCCCCGAGGGGGGCACCCTGGCCTCTCCCTCCCAGGAGAGGCCAATGGTGCTGACACCTCTCCATTGGAGCCACAAGCAGGGCTGGCTTTTGTTCCCGTCACTCACTTGCTGAGTCAGGGCTCTGTTCCCCGAGGGGCCCTCTCTCCTCCCTGCCTATAAGAGCCTGGCCTCGGCCGTTCCCGGGTCTGGCATGTTCTCTGGGTCCATCTCGGTAAGTCCCCGGGTTGGAGAAGGGTTGGGATTTGAGCTCTGGGTGAGTCTCCTGGGAGGCAGGGGAGCCCCTGGTCCCCAGTCCTGGGGGGATACCACTGAGTCATCCCGAATGCCATCCTCATCGAACCAGGCTCCAGACCTCGAGACCAGTACCTGCGACCGCCGTTTAAAACCCAAATGATTCCGGTAATCCTGCTGCCTCAACTTCCGCTCTTAGAGCCTCCTTTCTGGGTCAGGTGCTGTCTTTGGGAGGCTCTCAAGCTGGTCATCTTGGCACTTGCCAGGGGCATAGCATCCACCCACCCGGCAGCCGCGGAAAATTCCCCCTACTGAGTAGATAAAACAGCACAGAGTGGGGTGTAGAGGAATGGGACCCAGAATGGGTACATTTTGAGACAGAGAAAGGATGGAAGAAAAGGAGATGGTATTGAAAAGTGGAGGAGGAGACTGCCCAGAGCCACACTTTGCCCTTCATCTTGGGCACTTCTGGACCCCACCTGGGTACCCATGTGCCCAAACCAGACTTCAGCTTCAAGGAGGGGAGCAGAGTCGGGTTGGAAGCGTCCTCATCTTCTTCTGTCGCCTAGGAAACGAGCGGCATGTCTCTGCAGTGCACCAAGTCGGCGGGACACTGGAAGGTAGGGAGAGGCACTGGGGGTGGGTGGCGACGTCTGGGGAGGGGGAGGGCACAGGTCAAGCCCAGGTCCTGCGGACCCCTGCCCCACCTTCTCTTAATCCCCACCCCTGGAGCTGGGCCGGTAATGATGACCCATTTCACGGAGGATGTAGTCGAGGCTCTGAGAGGGAGAGGGTCTTCCCCAAGGTCACACACAGAGGTTCTTGATTTGAACTTGGGGCTTCTGGTCCTCGAATTTAATTGTCTCTCTGGCAGAAAGCGACAGGCCTTCCCTGTAGCTCAAGCGGTAAAGAGTCTGCCTGGAACGCAGGAGACCCGGGTCTAATCCCTGCGTTGGGAAGATCCCCTGGAGAAGGGAATGGCAACCCACTCCAGTATTCTTGCCTGGAGAATCCCATGGACGGAGGAGCCTAGTGGGCTACAGTCTATGGAATCACAGAGTCGGACTTGACTGAGCAACTAACACCACTATTACTGGCAGAAAAGGCGAACTGGTGATGTTGCACAGTCTCTGGGCATGATTCCTTTGGTTTCCTCTGTGTTTAAAAACAAACAAACAAACCTAAAACCTCTGAATTTGTCTTCAGCGTTTGAACACCGGGAGAGTTCACAGAAAAGTTCAATAAGAGGGGTTGTCTTGGGGAAATTGGACTGTTGGTTGCATTACCATGTGGCAGCAATAGGTGGCGCTGAGCAGGGCCTGTGCTCCCGGGGTCTCAGCTCTCACCGTCCCCTCCCTGGACCCTGGAGGCATCTGAGTTTGCCGTCCCTGCATTACCTGGCCTGCCCCACACTGAGTCCTGGGATGCATCCCTAACCCCTCACCGCCCCGCATTCCCCCCAGCTGCCCAGTACTCTGATATGGGTCCCCACCTTTTCTCTCCGGCATAGATCGTGGTGTGGGATGAGGAGGGCTTCCAGGGCCGGCGGCATGAGTTCACGGCTGAGTGCCCCAGCGTGCTGGAGCTTGGCTTCGAGACTGTTCGATCTTTGAAAGTGCTGAGTGGCGCGTGAGTCCAGGGGGATCGGAGCTGGGGTTGGGGAGACAGGAAGGTATCTAGAGAGGGGTGCTGGGACTTTTAGGCGTTCTAGGTCATATCTTCCCTGGCTCTAACTGTACTGGTGTGCCTCCGTGGGTCTGAGATGCTGGGAGCATAAAGGACGGCAGCGTAAGGTTGCACGGGTTGTGCACTGCCCAAATGTAGCTGCGCTGGGGAGGGGCGCCATTCACACAGGGTCTGCCCATTGGATGAGGCAGCCTTGTGGGGGCAGACCTAAAAAATCCAGTGTTGGGTCTGAAATGTCCCTGTTAGGCACAAATCAACAGTCAATATCACTCACCAAAAGTGGAAGGTAACAAAAAATACAGTGAAAAATAATGCTAGTAATTTTTATTTAACCGTTGCTGCCTGACTGAGATCTGAACATGAGATGTTTTATTTAAAAAGAGGGAGAGAGAGGACTTCCCTGGTGATCCAGTGGTAAAGAATCTGCCAGCGAAGGTGGGAGATAGGAGTTCGATCCCTGATTGGGGAAGATTCCACATGCTTTGAGGTAGCTAAGCCCACGGGCCACAACTACTGAAGCCCATGCCCTAGAGCCTGTGCTCCAAAACAAGAGAAGCCACCGCAATAAGGAGCCTGCACACCGCAACTAGAGGCCGCTCCTGCCCTCTGCAACTAGAGAAAAGCCCGCAGCAGCAGCAGAGGAGACCCAGCGCAGCCAAACATAAAATAAATTTGAAAAAATTAAAAAGAGAGACGGAGATTAATGAGATGGCCAAGGCTGAAGTCAGCGTATGCTCGAGTCTCATCTACGTGGCCCAGGGGGACAGGTGCGAGGGTGGCAGGTACCTGCAAGGGGCCAGTCCCCTGCCTGCAGGATGCGCAGTGGGGCAGTGGGCTTCTCCACGTCAGCACGGTGGATGTTTGGGGTCAGGTAATTCCGTGCTGGGGGCTGCCCAGGGCATGGGAGGACGTTTAGCAGCGTCCCCAGCCTCTACTCACAAATGCCAGTTGCAAATCTCTCTCCTTCTGACTCCCAGCAAGACAACTAAAAATGCCTGCAGACATTTTCACTGCCTCCTTTGGTGGGGTGGGGTGGGGGGGCAAAGTCACCCTGCATGACAACCACTGGCCTAGAACTCAGGGTCGGAGGCCTCCTAACCTCTCGCACCCTCTACCGTCTGCCGGCAGGTGGGTGGGTTTTGAGCACGCCGGCTTCCAAGGGCAGCAGTATGTGCTGGAGCGGGGCGAGTACCCGTCCTGGGACGCCTGGAGCGGCAACACGTCCTACCCCGCCGAGCGGCTCACCTCCTTCCGGCCCGTGGCCTGCGCCGTGAGTCCCGACACCACCTGGTCCTTGAGGGTGGGGGTGGGGCGCTGAGCCCCTCCAGTGGGGGCTTGGGAATTGGATGTCCAGAGTTCAGATTCTCGTGTCACTGCTTCAAGCTGTGGCAGTCCCTCCCCTCTCTGAGCCTCAGTGTCTTCATCTTGAAATGGGGCCATAGTACTTAAGTTCTGGGGAGAAAAATGTACATATGGACAGAGCCCACCACAGACATTCTGCCCATCGGAACTCTGGTTGTGATGTGAACTCCTTCCTGTTTTGTGTCCTTTTCCTTTTTTCTGGCCGTGCTGTGCGGCCTTTGGGATCTTAGTGCCCTGATCGGGGACTGAACCTGTGCCCTCTGTGTTGGGAGAATAGAGTCTTAACCTCTGGGCCACCAGAGAAGTCCTTGTGTCTGTCTTTTCATGACTCAGGGACCACTGGGAGAGGCTGGGTACCAGAGGTGGCAGGGCGACGTGAGAAAGAAGGGTCCTGTTATTCCTAGTTCATTGTCAGTGTTCCTGATTTTATATTTTAGCTACTGTTTACAGAGTATGGGTAGAGGTGAGTACTGTTACCCCCGTTTTACAGATGAAAAAACTGAGGCTCAAAAAGGTGTATTTTTCTCCTTCAAAAACAATTTTAATGAATTTTAAATAACTGCAGCACATGTAATTATCTCCTAAAGTTCAGGGAAAAACCCAATATGGCTGAATAAGAAAATAAAAGTCACTTATACCCACACTTCTGAGACAGAAGCCTACTGTTATCAGTAATTGAGATTTCCTTGGTTTCTGTGCTACCCACAGATTCTATCTGCAGTGATTGATGTCCGTATCGATGTCTAGATCTGTGTATCTATACCATCTATAGCTATATATCTACATATGCACATCATTTGGTTATACAAATTGAATCATAGTGAACCTAAAGCTTGGAAATCAGCCTTACCTGCTCTGCAAATATATGCCAGTCACCCTCCGGGTGATTAAATCTCACCTGTGACATTTTCCATGGTGACCTACCTGGTATACTGTGTTATGGTTGTTCACCGTTCCACAGACAGCCCAGCCACAGCGCCCATGTGGGGACCCGCGTGGGCTCTCCCAGACGCGATCCCTGCCTTTACCTGGTTTACAAGTTCTGCCGAAGTAGATGTGGTTAATTTCATTTTATAGATGAGGAAATAGGCTCAGAAATGCTGTGGGGCAGGTTTTTGTCTGTTTAAACTTTTTAGTTTGTATTGGAGTATAGCCAATTTAACAAGGTTGCCCTAGTTCCAGGTGGACAGGGAAGGGACTCAGCCACACATATACATGGATCCATCCTCCCCTAAACTCCCCTCCCATCCAGGCTGCCGCAGGACATTGAGCAGAGTTCCGTCTGCTCTACAGTAGGACCTTATTGGTTATCCATTTTGAATATGGCAGTGTGTACATGTCCATCCCAGACTCCCTAACGATCCCATCCCTCCGTCTTTCCCCTCTGGCAAAGCATTAAGTTCGTTCTCTAAGTCTGTGAGTCTCTTCCTGTTTTGTAAGTTAAGTTCATTTGCATCGTTTCTTCTTTGATTCCACATATAAGGAATGTTACATGGCATTTTCTCCTTCTGTCTGACTTACTTCACTTAGTATGAGACTCTCCAGGTCCATTCGTGTTGCTGCAAATGGCATTACTTCATTCTTTTTAATGGCTGAGTAATATTCCACCGTATATATGTGGGGCATGTTTTTAAGCTCAGTCAGCTGACATGTGGAGAATCAGGATTTGAACCCAGATCTCCACACCCTTGTCTTAACCCTAGTGTAACACTCCAGCTTCCTCCCTGATCCCCTGCTGTGGGGTGTCATGTTGATTTTTTTGATTCTTTTCTTTTTTTCTTTTATCACCAAGGCTTGCTGTCCTTGTTTATTTTGTGTAAATTTCTGGAAGGTTTTGTCTCTTGTAAGGTTTCCAGTGCCTGTTGCCTTCTTGTCCTTCCAGAGGGCTGGTGAGGAAGGCTGATTTTTGGAGATGAGAGCTGGGGTGCTGGGGCCGGCTGGGGCTTCTGGCTGACACCCTGATGCTCCGACTCTGTTCCCTGTGCCTGCAGAACCACCGTGACTCGAGGCTGACCATCTTCGAGCAGGAGAACTTCCTGGGCAGGAAAGGAGAGCTGAGCGATGACTACCCCTCCCTCCAGGCCATGGGCTGGGATGGCAACGAAGTGGGCTCCTTCCACGTCCACTCGGGGGCGTAAGTGGATCGAGGCTGTGCTCTGCAAGGACGGAGAGGAGGTTGAGCGGGCGGGGGGACACCTCCTGAGGTACCTACAAAGGTCCGATGAGGGCCCATGGCCTAATTTGGAGGAGATGTCAGACCGCCCCCTCTGCAGTGAAGATCGGGCTGAGACCTGGACGATAAATATTAACTCGACCAGGCAAAGAAGGGCCGGAACGGTGTTGCTGGCAGGCGGAAGCGCATCATCAAAAAGATTCCAGTAGCGGGCAGAGCAGGGCGCGTTCTAGGCAGGAGCACCCAGGGGACTGGAGTGTGCTCGCAGCCTCGGGGCCCCCGGGGTCTCTGCCGTGGTCGCCAAGCTGGTGCCTCCCGAAAGGTAACGGTCTTTCCCCTTCCCTTTTCCAGCTGGGTCTGCTCCCAGTTTCCTGGCTATCGAGGTTTTCAGTACGTGCTGGAGTGTGACCACCACTCGGGCGACTACAAGCACTTCCGGGAGTGGGGCACTCACGCCCAGACCTTCCAGGTGCAGAGCATCCGAAGGATCCAGCAGTGAGCAGAGAGGGCGGCGCTGAGCAGGGGACGCGCGCTGGTCTGGAGCGGAGGAGCCGCGGACGCTGCCACCTGCTCTCTCCTCTGCCCGCCCCGGCACCCGTATGCACCCAGTTAACCCTGTGGGCCAGTCCACGCACAGTCAGCACGAAAAGCTCAAAGTAATACTAAAATAAAAGGTCTAGTGTTACCCTGTGGTTTTCCATTTTGTGGATCCTTTCAGAGGATCGAAGTGTAGCTTTGTTGATTTTCTCGGCCATTCGTCTGTGTTCCATTTCACTGAGTTTTGCTCTTATCCTTCCTGTTTTCCATCTTCTATTATTTTGGGTTTACTTTATCCGTCTGTGGTCTGGCTTTTAAAGGCAGACCCTTGAGTCATTAATTATGGCCCCTCCCCCCATATGGGTTTCCCTGGTGGCTCAGATGGTAAAGAATCTGCCTGCAATGCAGGAGACCTGGGTTCCATCCCTGGGTTGGGAAGATCCCCCGAGAAGGGAATGGCTACCCACCCACTCCAGAATGCTTGCCTGGAGAATCTCAGGGACGGAGGAGCCTGGCGGGCTACGGCCCAGGGTCGCAGAGTGAAACACGTCTGAGTGACTAACTCACACACACCACATAGTCGAGCCTTCACGGGTGGCTCAGCGGTAAAGAATCTGCCTGCGATGCAGGAGCCGCAGGTTGGATCTCTGGGTGGGGAGGCTCTCTGGAGGAGGGCACGGCAACCCACTCCTGTGTTCTTGCCTGGAGAATCCCATGGACAGAGGAGCCTGGCGGGCTACATGGGTTTGAAAAGAGTCAGACACTGCTGAAGCGACTTAGCATGCACCCGCGCACGCACGCCCATACAGTCAGAGTTAAGACTCTCCCTGCAATCACTGCATTAGCTGCTTCTCAGAAATTGTGATTTGATGTGTTTCCATTATCACTCAGTTTGATATTTTCCCGTCTCCCTTATGAGTTCTTCTTTGATCCATGGGTTACTTAGGGATATGCTATCTGAATATTAGGGATTTCCTACATATTTTATTGTTATTGGTTTGTTAACTGTGATCAGAGAACATACTCAAGATTTCAATATTCTAATGAAACTTATTTCATGGCCCAGATTATGGTCTATTTCTGATAGACTTGAAAACTTTAAAATCTTGTTGTCTTTAGGTATAATGTTCTATAAATGTGGACTAGGTCAAGTTGGTTCACAACTTCGGTAGGATTTTTCTATATCCTTGCCAATTCTTTCAAAATTAGTTTTTTTTTTTTTTTAATCAATCACTCAGAAAGGGCTGTTAGTATCTCCTACAATGATTTGGGCTTTATCTGCTTCTATCTTTAGTTTTGTTCATTTTTGTTTCCTGATTTTTTTTCCTTCAAGAACCTTGCTGCTGTTTTACTGAAAGTGAAAGTCACTTAGTCGTGTCTGATTCTTTGCGACCCCATGGACTATACAGTCCATGGAATTCTCCAGGCCAGAATTCTGGACTGCGTAGCCTATCCTTTCTCCAGTGGATCTTCCCAACCCAGGGATCGAACCTAGGTCTCTGGCGTGGCAGGAGGATTCGTTACCAGCTGAGTTACCAGGGAAGGTACACGTACACTTATTTATTTTTAAATCTTTTATTTTATATTGGGATGTAGTCGATTAACAATGTTGTGATAGTTCCAGGTGGGCAGTCTTAAGGGACTCAGTCATACATATAGAGGTATCCGTTCTCCCACCAAACTCAGGTGCATGTATGTCTGATTGCTGTCTTCCCAATAAACTGTCCTAAGCGTGTGTTTTTTTTAAAGCCATGCTTGGAGGGATCCAGTCCTCTCCCCTAAAGCTTCACACCTTCCTTTTACCTCTCCCCAGTTCTGTCTCACGCATACTACCCTTGAGTCACATTTAACACCTTCCTCCTTAAAGGTTTTTAAAACAAGGAAAGGAACTCCCCATTCCATTTGCAGCCGGAGCAGCCAGATTTGTACACACATGTTCCTCGCCCCAGCCCGCCCCGCCCTTACTCTCTCTCCCGGCTCTTTGTATATGGATTGTCTTAACAATCATAAGCCATCTGGCTATTTTCCGGACTATCTTCCTCTGTCATAAGTAAGTCTGATAGAGTCAGGAAGGGGTGGGGTTCTGAACCGCCTGCTGGAAAAGATAACATTATCTGGCTCAGGAAGGGGAGGACAGTGTTTGGGAACAACGGCACTTTTAGTCATTTTTTTAACCCCTCTTTGTGGTATCCTGTTCATTCAAACAGCCACGTGCCTGGGACCTCCTGGGCACCCAGGCCCTGGCAAACGGTAAATAAGAGACACAATACCGTTTCTCTCACGCAGTTGGGTGGGGAAGGCAGACAAGGGCTCAGTGGACTACGATCTCCTGTGATGAGTGCTGTGATGGGGAGGTTCGGGCGTGCAGGGCACATAAGCAAGGACCTCAGGCCTTGATGGGAGAGGGCTGGCAGGCAGTTCTTCCCCGGAGTTTACTGCTGCTCTGACCTCTCCTCCGGACTCCATCCCTGGATACCAGCTCCCTCCTCGACACCTCCATGCGGATGCCTGATGTACATCCCAAACAGAATCCATCCACAACCCAAGCTGCATGGTTCCAGCTGTGTGGGCCCAGACCTTCGGAATAATCCAAAGTCTCTCACACCCCACAGTCCAATGCCTGGCAAATCCTGGTGTCTGCACCTTCAGAATGTACTAGAAACCCAAACCCGAGTCACCATCTCTGTTGCTCCTTCTCCCTCCCGCCCCCTCGGTCTCCCTGATCCCACTTTGCCTCTGAACAACCTGTTCTTCAGGCTTCCCTGGCAGCTCAGTGATCAAGAATCTGCCTGCAATGCAGGAGATGCAGGTTCGATCCCTGGGTTGGAAAAATGCCCTGGAGATGGGAATGGCTGCCCACTCCAGTGTTTTTGCCTGGGAAGTCCCACGGACATAGGAGCCTGGCGGGCCGCAGTCCACGGGGTTCGCGAAGAGTCAGACACGACTTAGTGACTAAACAACAATCTCTCCTCCACCCAGCAGCCAGGGTGATCACGTTAAACAGTAACGTGGGCGACTCCCTGGCAGTCCAGTGTTTAAGACTCCATGCTCTCAGCGCAGGCAGCGTGGATTCAATCCCTGGTTGAGGAATTATGATCCCACAGGCTGCAAGTGTGGCAAAAAAAAAAGTAAGCTTGACCTTTGCTCCCCTGCTAAAACCCTCCCACACTTCCCACCCCACCCCAAGAACAAAACCAATCAGTATTTCCTACCCGACGAGGCTGGCCATGGTCTGCCTCCCCCGTGGTCTCTCTGACCTCATGTCGCTGTAGTGACGCTTTCCTTAAACGTCTCAGGTGTATTCATTTGCTACGTTTGCCAAAACCAGGTAGCACAGACTAGGGTGGTCTAAACAACAGAAACCTACTTTCTCACGGTTCTGGAGGCCGGAAGTTGATGATCAAGGTGCCACCGGCTGGTTTTTGGGGAGGGCTCTCTCCTGGGCTTGCAGACAGCTGCCTTCTCCCTGTGTCCTCACGTGGACATTCCTCTGTGTGTGAACCCCTGGTGCTTCTTCCTCTTCTTATGAGGACCCTGGTCTTCTTGGATGAGAGCCCCACCCTAACAGCCTGACTTAATGATCTCTTGACACACCTTTTCTCCAAATATCCTTATATTCTGGGGTCTTGGGGGTTGGATTTCAACTTGTGAATTTTGAGAGGAAACGTTTCAATCCAGGAGATCAGGTTTGTTCCCACCTGTGGGGTCGGTTTTTTAAAATTTATTTGGTGGCGCCGGGTCTTAGTTGAGGCACATGGGATGTAGTTCCCTGACCAAGGGTGGAAGCTGGGCCCCCTGCACTCCCGCTGACCCTTTCACTTAGAATCACGTGTTCATAGACTTTCAGACTCGGAAGGAACTTCTCTTATCAAGTCTAGTGTTTCTCAAGCTTTTTTCTATTATTGCTACCCCTCAGAGTCTTTTCAGACATTGTTTTCCAAACTGCTTCCCCTTTTGCCAATGGAATCTTAATACCACAGGTATTAATATAATGATATTATATTATGTTATAATGATACTATATCAATATAGTGATATTATATTAATATAATATTAATATAATGATAATATATTAATACCCTTGTCCATCATATATGTATATCTGTGCTTCATACATAAAAATAATAATGTTTGGGGGTTTTTTTGGTTTTGTTTGCTCCTCAAGTACCCATTTTCACTTCTCTGGGGGTACTATTGCCCCCATTCTACTGAACAAGTGCTCAGTTGTGTCTGATTCTTTGTGATCACCTGGATTGCAGCCCACCAGGCTCCTCTGTCCATGGAATTCTCCAGGCAAGAATACTGGAGTGGGCTGCTACTTCTCCAGGGCATCTTCCCAACCTAGGGATTGAATATGTGTCTCCGACATTGCAGGAGGATTCTTTACCTGCTGAACCGTTGGGGAAGCCCCATTTCCAATGTATAACAGAGTCATGTCTCTTTTTATTATTAAATTAAATTTATCTATTTAATTTTTTTGGCCATACCACGTGGCTTGTGGGATCTTAGTTCTAAGACCAGGGATTGAACCTGGGCCCTCAGTTAGGATTTATCAATGACTGTTTTACAGGTATTGTTACTTTGTTCCTTGAAAAAAAAATTATGTCCTGTAGCTTTGGGTAAAGTTGGTGTCCATAGGGCAGGAATACTCACAGCTGGCCAGAGTTTAATGTGAATTCTGACTCTCTCAGTCCATGGGGTTGCAGAGAGTCCAACATGGCTGAGTGACTGAACAACAATAGCAAATGACTCTCTGGGAGAATAGAGTATTCAGAGTTTTTCAAAAGTACCTAACACACAACTATTATTATCTTCTTTTTTTTTTTTTTTGGTGGAGCATCTTGCATCATGAATGACTTGAAGCATATAGTGGGAAATGGGGCAGTTAAGTGTGATAGTCATTCACAGCCTAGTATGAATTAGCGTGGCGTCTTTAGGTCCCAGCATTCAGCAGGACCTGAG